CTGTCTCTTATACACATCTAGATGTGTAGAGTTAAGGAGCACAATCCTTTTTGGAAATTCTTAGATACCCAGTATGCCACTGTACCCATCAGCAACCATTTGCCAATCCACCTGGATCGATCAGTAGTTCAGAACAACCTTTATGTAACTTGTTACTTAGTCGTTCACGTTCTGTTTACCCACTACATGTACTAACACCTTTTATGTTTACTTCTTTGTGGTATATAGAATTAGATACAAATCTCGACTTAATAGGCTTAGCTGGTTTTTCAAACTCTATAATTGGATATAATGTGATTAGTAATTTAATTAATTGATGCCACTGTGACGTGACTTGCTGTATTTGAGGTTGTTTACCTTTTAGTTTTGATAAGGAATCAGTTGTATTAATTTGCTAATAGGCCTAATTCAGATTATAATCTTCATGATGTTATCACGCCTATTATCGAAGAACAGGTATCAAATCCTAAAATAAACGTGGTTATTATCATCTGTTGTTCACTCATACTAGGCCTATTATTTTTGGTATATGCACTTCACCATAGTATTAACCAGCTAACGATCGCACTATTTCTAACTGCATGCATGCACAATCAGGATACGCACCACTCGGCAGCATGTGTAGTATGAGAAGCTGTGGATTAATGAAAGATGACGGCTTACTAACCAGCTTCGTCACCGTCCACGAAGTTGGACACACGTAAGTACAAAAAATGCAACCTTTAGCTGCACAAACTTATTACTTACTAAACAGTTCTGATGAAGAAGCATTGCCGGAATTTGCAATATTTAGGGCCAATATGTCACAATTAATTACTAATTAATTACTAATTAGTTTTAAAGGAGTATGTAATGATTGAATTAGTGAAACCTTGTCTCGTCATTGTTTCGCCTTCGAAATCAGTCTGACTACTAATTTTAGGGATACGATGGGATTTAGATTAAAAACTGTCTATGTTGTTCTTATAAACTTGATAAATTAACAACCTACATTTTTTATCTCATGACGTTATTAACATTTTTGCTTAGATGTTAGAAAGAAAATACTCGTCAATTATACACAGTTCACGTACAGTACACGTTGTTATGCAAACCTTTAAATTGGATGATGGGTAATTAATTTAATTATAATTAGTAGAAAAACAAATCTGTATGCCTAAATTAGAGAAAATATATATGTTTTAAGCTCAAATAGTTTCATCTGGTTTCTGTGATGTATGATCTGGGAATAATTCTTGAAAATAAACCATTAAATATAGGTCTACGCACTGTTTGAAAATCCCTTGATAACGGATCGAAACGTCAAAAAAGAGTGTTTTTCCACGTACACGTTTTTATTTGGGAATCTTTGGAATTTACTGTCATAGGCTATTTGAAACTAAAATATTGCAAACCAATGTTACCAATGATTTTACAGGGGTTTTCCTAATTTGAAAGTCCGTATAGCCTATCTTTAAAAACTATTTGCGATTATAAAAAGCATATCGAGTATCAGCTAAAACCAAGCTGTATATAAATTCTCTAAATATTGCTTCTTAGTAAAACAATTTAGGTATGTTGACGTGTTTACGCCAACCAACGCGTCAAAATTGCGCTGAGTGTGAACAAAGCCGAACACTGTTGCTGTATTAACCTTTTTAATTCAACTTTAAACACAAACTGACGGTTATAACTTGTATTGCGTTTACCTTTAGTCTGGGCATGGATCACGACGGACAAGGGAATGCCTGCCGAAAGGACGCCAATAAGGGAAGTATCATGGCCCCTCTTGTCACAGCAACCTACCACAAATATTTCTGGTCATCATGTAGTCGCAAAGAAATGCAGGCTGAACTTGGGTATGTATGAATTTTATTTTTTAAAAAAATATTGTAAAAAAATGAAATGTAATTATTATGTTCATCATCATTATTATCAATTTATCATCTTCATTATTCGTGTTGCTCCTGAAGTCATTAGAGGTGCAACCTTACGAGAACGATAACGAATACGCCATTATCATCTTGTGCTTAAAACATTCTTGACTGAATGTGATCGTTGATTCATGTGAAAGGCATGGATGATCTACGTTGTGACATATGCTACTGTATGGGAATTGATCGACTAACATTTGATGACGTAGCCGTATTCCTTATCTTTTTAGTAAGCTTTCGAAACCTCCTTAGGCCTATTAGTTACAAGTGTTACGTATGCAGGATATACTAAGCACTATATGTAAACGAACGCGCTGATTAAGAAATATAAGGCCTAAATAAATTGATACTAATTTGTAGGCCTAGAAGATTTATAAGAGGCTATTTATCAACAGTCTAACAATCAGTGCTCAAGGCATAATCGCATAAAGTAAAACCTTAAAGTGAACAACTGAGTTGACGTCATCAAATTTTGAGCCCTTGAATGCAGTGCAGGAGAATTGATTGTACATGTAGTGACATTTTTCTAAGTTAACTCTTGAAAATAACCGAATACTGAGCGGTACGACGCTCCATATCAGTGTTAATATTCTTTTACTCGCTTCGTTGAATGTGTTTACTAGCCATTGTGCTGTCAGGATACCTACGTACTTACAGTACTACATTTTCGTCCTGCTAAGAAACACTGTTATACTTTATTAAAAACTTTTGCTTAAACTCTATTATTTAGAAGAATTGGTTTCCCTTAAATCCTCAACCTATATCCTTTTTATATGAACACTTACTACAGTTACATTCTGAAAGAAGTATCCGGCAAAGTCGACACACTTATTTCTCCGGAAACCTTTACCACGTGATTAGTTGTCATACCGCATAAAACAACATCGTTGTTCAAGCAAGGCTTGTTTAAATGAGTCTCAGATGCATAATGTCATAGCCTATGTCATATTAGTTTTTTTTGACAAGGTTCAAAGTCTGTCTCTTATACACATCTAGATGTGTATAAGAGACAGATATAGGTCTACGCACTGTGAATGATATTGAAAATAGTCTAGTAGTAGAGATGTGTATAAGAGACAGTATATGTATGTATTTGTGTATATATGTTAATGTTTTATTGCGTATATACTAATTACATAAATTAAGAATGATTGACTCGAAATGCATATTTCTATCTGCAGTAATACTCTATTACTCTTTATCTATGTAACAGACTTTCTTTATCATAAAGTAGGCTTACCTTCATCGCAGCTTAGGAATTTGACGCGGAAACCAAATTACCCATTGATTTATCGCAATTAGCATTTGCAATTTTATTTCATTTGTAACCGCATAAGCCTCAAGTGGAATCTATAAAGTTACAAAAAAATAATTTGATCACTCTTCATACTAGAAAGTTTTATAAGACGTGGTCAAAATTAATGATAGGCCTGTGGTATGTATTCTTTCGAATAATTTAAAGGATATTTTAATTTGTAGTGTTTTTGTTTTTAAGCTGTGTTCAATGTATTAATGACAATGATTTTTATTTTTTTTCATTCTATAACCTGTTGAAAAAAACACTCATTGTGATGAGAGATTTTTCAAAAAGTTAAAGAATGAAAAAAAATATATTATTGGCACGGGTCAATTTGGTTTCCTAATTTGACTCGGCCTGGAAGTTAATTAAATGTCTAATTTATTACCTTGCGAGAGATAACTTTAGAGTTTCAAATTAGTAACCATAGTGTAGAATTTTACGTCCTTTCGCAGTACAAGGAAAAAATAATTACTGTACAGTTGCTTGATTAAACTATAGCTAACCTTCATTGTTTTCGGATATTCCTTCCTAATTATTATGCAAATTAATACCATGTTTTTCTTTGTTAAAATTAAACTAATAGATTACGGGTTCTTATAAAAACTTAAACTTACAAGCCCTGGAGCATTTAAACGCATAATACATAGGCCTACTGTTCATTCTGTATGGAACCGAAATTTAAATGTCACATCAGGAGTTCTGCTTGATTGTAGAAAGTCAGCTGTTTTCCTGCTAGAAATTACTTTGCTGGAGACCTGTAGCCTGTCTGAATATCATTTCTACTGAATGGGCTTGCGATATAAATCAAACTGAAAATAGATAGAATGTGTGCCAAATAAATTCATGTTTGTCAAACTATAAGATGGTTTTCATGTCATGTTAATCGAACCCTTATTTCGTAGCCTTTTGATAGACATTCAATGTGGACTTAATAATACTGGCTTACACATTGTTTTCATGACTTTGCAGTATTTCCATAGTGCAGTTTGTTATGTATTGAATATACTATAAATCAACGTAACCATTAAATATAATCAATCATTGATGCTCGTGAATGGTCATCACTTAATTTTTTTAGGTATCGGTGTATTTAGTTATAAATAGACCTAGGTACTGTTTCGTTGCAAATGGATTGGAAAGTGCATCCTCGTAAACATGTCTTCAGATCGCTTGGGAAGGTCAGACTAGAGTGCTAGTTGGCAGAGACAGCCAATTCAAAAACTGACAATGACTGAACATTGTATTTAACTATCATGTAGGCATGTAAATACAGTATTAACTACCGACCCCCATATATCTTGAGATATATCAGGCATGGAGAAATATTAATCATTTAATAGGCCTAACTGCTTTCTTAATTATTTTATTTTCGAATACAATTTTTTTTTAAATTTGAACACAGTTTATAAGAACACTGAGGCTGAAATTGCTTTAAAAATAAGAACAAATCGAGGCTGAAGTAAAATTTCAAGTGGGGTTTTTAATTTTAAAATATCGAAAAAACAAATATAATATACCAGTAAAATTATTTTGGTCTTATCTTTATGCAGAAGGTGTGACTATGTAAAACCCTTTATTAAAACAGTATAGTAATACATACTGCCGTACAATAATATTGTTTCATCTTTAAAAGGTGTGTAAAAAGGAACATATTCAGCCTGCAATTGAAGAAAGAATATGAACTGGTTTTTATAAAAAAAAAATGTAGATAGATAAATTATAAAAATCTTAAATTAACTAATTTTACTACTTCCTTCGAAAGGTGAATGATGTAGGCCTATTATTATCGATACATTGCTGCAACTGCAAATTTCATAGCCCTTTGTCTACATTAATTTCAATTCCTATTTTCGTTTTTTGAATGATATTGAAAATAGTCTAGTAGTAGTAATGTTGTTCAGAACATTTGTTTTGACAAAGACAAAGGTTATCTTGAAAACTAGCATGCTTACATTTGGTGGCCACATGTCATTTTTCAAATTAGTCATGGGTGAGAAAATAAAACCAATAGCTGAAAACAATGCGGCATTTTAGGACTACTTTCCAATGAAATTATATAATACGGAAGAACGTTACAATCGGCGAAGATTTTGAAAAAATACCAAGTTTGCCATACAGTGTGCAAAACTTTGAATATCTGCGGTATCAGTAAAGTAGCTTAACTGTTTCAAACCACTGTATATGGTTGGTTCACGAATTAATTTGTGACCTTAAATCTGCAGAGACATGACCCCACTGCTAACGCACCTGTTATTGTTAGCCCACCTTGGTACTGTACTTGTATATAACTTAATTGAGATATAGCCAATAAGGGCACATCCAAGTATACTAAACAGAGATTCTCAACTGTAGGCCTAACTGCAAACGGAATAAAAGCCAAAATCAGGATACGAACTGAGTTTCGATTAGAAGCATCTCCTTTTACCCAGCTTCTGATAAAGATCAGAATTTATAGGTATAATTAAACAATTTGTAGCATATTACAATTGGGATTTGTAGATGTCGGGAAATATTTACTTCTCCCAGTCTGAATAGTTATTAAATTAAAGACTTGGAGTTATCTATTCGCTGTGAAGTTATTGATCTAGATTATTTCCTCCAATCCAGGCAGGCTGCCTTTCTATGACCTCGTCATCCATGTTTTAATTAAATTTCCTGCTGTGGCTGCGAATGGACTTGGGATTCAGAGTTTCAGTGTCACCCTGCGGGTTGCAAAAAGAAAAATTAAAATCCGTTTTAAAGATAAAAATATTATTATTATAATTAATTTTTGATTCAAAATATTCAAATCATTTGCCAATATAAGTATATGGTTTGAAGCTTTCATTTTCACCGTCGTATGTCACATGTTTGATATTAATATAGGAGGCTTATATTGCTTTAATAGTTTGTTAATCATTCCCGGTATAACCACTCTGTAACAAGGATAATGCTAACTAACTGGTCCATAAACATAATAACACATTGATTTAATTGTATCAATATATACTAGTTTGCCTGTGGCGTAAAAAAAAGAATTTACTTCATTTAATATCAGCTGGTCTAAGTTCATATACTGGGCTACCTAAACTGCAAACTGCGTAATAATGGAGGATCATTTCGTCGAGGTTGTTGACCGATGTGACTTACACTAATTAATTGTTGAAAAAGTCAGCACACCGTCTGATCTTGTAATTTATCTGTTATTTATTCTATCCTTAATGTCTACTACCCAAAATAGGCCTATAGCAGTAGGCTATCTTAAGCAAACTATACAGAATTTGTGCATAACCAACGTCGTTAAAATATTTGTCAAACTTACTTATGATTGATGAATATTGAATAAACATAAAGGTTCTCATGCTTCGATTGAAGATCCTGCCTTTCCAGTAAACATAGGCCTACAGTAGCAACACACCAATATACATATTCGCTGTATACAAAAACTTATCCAAACTTCTTTTTTTCTAATAGAAATTTCAACTGTATGAATGACAATCCTCATGCTAGCACCACCAATCAATTCAATCCACCCTCAGGATTACCCGGCGAAAGCTACTCTCTTGACGACCAGTGTCGATTCGATTTCGGAGAAGGCTTCGGACGCTGTACCGCGGTATGTACACTTTATAAACACGGATATCGTGTTTAGGCCTAGGTCTATCTATTTTAAAATTCGTATTTTTTTTTTTTTTTGAAGTATAACAAGCTACTTGAATTTATACAGGAGTATCAGCAAACTTAACGAGTTGAAATATGAATGAAGTTCAGCTACTACCGTAAACTATTCTGCATGCTGTTATGATTTATGTTTTAGTTTATTGGTTATGTTTTCTTTAGTTTGGCGCTATGGATCCCTGTGGTCAACTGTGGTGTGCTCAACCCTCGAACCCATTCTTTTGCAAAACAAAGAAAGGACCGGCTCTTGATGGAACGTTTTGCCGAAAGAAGTCGGTAAGAAAAACTAAAGACATTTCAGTAACTCATTTCTTTACTTTCCACAGTGCGGTTTTGATATTTGCCAGCATCTGCTCTGTGCACATAGGTCCAGCCCTTGGTATGGAATGTACTTAGGATACGCTCTTGAGGGTAGTTCTTGTGGTACAGGGATGGTAAGCCTGGTGTTTGAAATTTTGGTATACCAATCACCAGCTTCGTAACACTGCAGCAGTATTCTGCGTATATATACTGCTTCTCATATACAAAACCTGTAACTCGTACTTGGCTATTTTTAACAAGTTATGATTTTTGATTTCGTTTTTGCGCAGTCGCACCAATAGTCGCATAGTATGATTTTGTTTTATATAATTGTTATCGATCTGGATATTATTAGGAAAATCTGCTTCAGTCCAACTAATTCAATGATGTTCTAGTCTTAGAGTATGGTTCAGTAC